TTCGATTTGAGTTAGACAGCATTGCTTTATGAAAAGGGATTATTTTTCAAAGTTTCATAGGCCCCCAGGACATCTCAGTTCATGGAGGAAAGGAATATCCCCCTTTCGCTTCTTTCCAAATAAGTTCCCACTCAAGCCATTTTTTCTCAGTTGTCATTCATTATCGGGGGCCTCTGTGCACGCTGCATCCTCTTAACAGCTCTGTCTCATAAGGTTACTGCAAAAAACACACTACCCCTAAAAGGCCCCCTCCTCTTTATATGGCATGAATTACTGCTAAGGAGGTCATGGGGGGGGACGACAGGGAAGAAGAGGGGTAGGAGGCTTTTTGCTACTCTGAGGAAGTATCTTGTGAAGAAAATGCTTTTCTCCACTGCTTGGGATGACTAGGGAGCCTAGTGGACCCTGATTTGTTCACACTCATGTAAACATGGTAATCCCTGAGGGCTGGTTATGCTTCTTAATTCATCCTGCAATAAATATGCTACTGATGATGCAGATTTTGTCCTTCCCTCCCCACTGCCCTCAACAAAGCAGGGAAAATTACACAATTAGTTGCCTGGCGGTTGCAAGGGCTGCCTGGCAAGGGGGTACTGCCCTTCTGCACCAAACTAGGGATATATATTTTTCCCTGTGAGCAGAGTGCATTACGGCTGTGTGCTGTGAGGCAGGGAAGTGCATGCATGCATGTAATAGGCAGCTGATCATTCCCATGACAGCTGCTGCGGTGGGAGCAGGGAAAGGTGTGCCCACCGCCCCGCGCCGCCGCCACCGCCTCCTGCGTGTGACCCTGTGAGGGAGTCATGCAGGCGACCCCGCACCGAGGGGATTTCTGAGCCCATGACTTGTTCTCAAATGAGGACTTCCTCCGATGGATGCTTATATTCAAGGCAACGAGTCATGTGCTCTGTTAATTTGAACTGTTGGATTCACCAGGTCTGCGATGGCTGGCTGTTTAAAAACACAGTGTGTTTCCAGCCCTGCAACAAAGGGCAGCTATCATTTAGTTTTTAGCTCTTTGGCAGAAGAAAACTGTACATGAGGGTGAGCAGGTTAAATTTGACTGGATAATTACATATTATTTTGCATGAATAGAAATGTCACTGCTAATGACAGCTGCAGTGTGCTCCAAAATATTTGGGATTAAATACCTTTGGTTTTATACCAAAGTGCACATAAATATTTGTAAACATTTGTATGCATTTAGTCCATCTGAGCAATTTATTAAGTAATATGTATGCAAAGCAGTAATTCTCAAGACTTCATGTTCCTGAAACCGCCAACCCGGTCTGTATTAGAAGAAAAGACTGTAAAACACAAGAGGCGTCTACCACCAAATGCCCTCTCCACTTCTCCTTCCTCCCTCTCCTGCTTCAATCAGAAATGAAAATACTTTGACTTCTAAATTAAACAGAGCCAAGCAATTTTTAGCATTGGGTTAACTGTGCAGGCTGAGCTCAGCTTCTCAGGACCCCAAGCAGGTATGTCCATGGCTATGGTTCAACTGCAAGACCTGGCAATTACCAAGAGCTCCTTAAGCCATTGTACCTAATTACAAATGGGAAATAGTTGTATTTATTCTTACAGCTATGTGTAGAGGCAGTTAGGTGTAGGAGTTCTTGAACCCACAGCTGAATTTCAAACTTCTGCTTTGCAATAAATGCTTTTCATTCATTTTGGGGTGGATGAGCTGTCCATATCAGCTACTGTTACTGTGGTCATTTTTCTGACCCAGTTCTGTGGGAAATGTTGTCAAAAGGCTTTCTAGTATTTCTGCAGGGTGAAGCTGCATAACACGGCTGTGTAAAATACTTGCCATACAATTCTATAATTAGTAAAAAACTATAAGGATCTTTTTGTCATTCCAAGAACTGTTTGAAGGACAGATGGAAGAAGCATTTGTGTGAGAAATGGTAGCTGACATAGAGGCTTTTTAGATGTCTCAAATTTAGTTGAATTCATCTTAACAAATTCCATTCTGGAAGCATTGTAACTCTGAAAATCAGACCCCAGTTATAGCAGAAATATCCTAAATCCTAATTTTTTTTCACCATAAAACATAGAGATACATGGCTTCATCATTCACCAGTACTTGCTAGTGAGCTATTTAATAAAGAAAGCAGAGTCTTATTCAGTGAGTTACACAGTCTTACATTCTTTTATTTCAAATAGTAATTTTCCTACACAATTTCTTGCTTGAGTTCCTATTGCTGCAACTTCAAATTCACTAGGAGCTGGGTTCAAGTTGGCAGAAGGACTCCCAAAACAGAAAGACACAGTCTCTGCTCACAATACAATTTGAAAAAAGATGCAGCATGTAGGTTTTTGATTTCATTTGTACTCATTAAAGCATTAGCAGTTGCTCATTCACTGTATCTTGGCACACAAGATGAATATATAAATTGTTCTGGGAATAGGGAAATTAGGCAAATATTAGCAGCTGTAAGTGAACACCCATTTTGAAAAGGAGACTACTATATCTAAGAAATTCCTGTCTACTCTTTAAGGTTGGGGGGTTTCAAATTGTGATGGGTCTGTTTTGAAGGGAAAAAGAAGAGATGCAGGATTTTGAATTGTTTCAGTACAAACCCAACCCAATATGTTTAATGCAGCTTATTTATATTTTATGAAGAATGAGAGCACTCTGGAATAGGCAACAAGAGCATACCACAGGAGGAAGGCAAACCTGGCAGACGTCTCTGTTCTGCCTCATGGCCTTGATCCAAATTCCCTTACTGCCCTGGCTCCTCCCGCACTATTTGGAGATAAGCAGACCTTCATCCTGTTCGAGGACCTTCCCAGCAGATTTCAGTGCCCTTCTCCAGATGTATTTCCACAATGATCCAGTGGAGGCACGTTTCTTTTGCCATCACTGCCAGTGTTAAGCTTTCCAACAGCTTCAGCAGGCTCTGGGACAGGCTCTTAGCGCATGGTACCACTCATTTTTCAATGAGTAGCAATCCTGTCCTTCATTTCAGTGATTCAGAAAAAAAAGCCCTTAAAGCAGAAGTTGCCAGAGTATATTGAATGCAGAACCATCCTTTTAGTGCTCTTACTTATTCACTACAGTAAACAATGCCATCTAAAATAATTTCCAAATTTCAATTTAGGAAAAAAAAATCTTCTCTTTTAGCTGTTACTCTCTCTCACAATGGAAAGCTGCCTCAGAGCATGTTGCATTTCAGAGGAGCCTGTGAGATTTTGTTTTAATGGGAAGCTAAATGAAATGTTTAAATTTCAAATCAACAACAGAACATGTTCAAAGAGCTATATTTATAGGGCTTAAGTGAAAAATGCTCTGGCACTGCTTTTAAATAATGTTGGCAAGCAACAGAGGGAAGAACACCACTCACTGATTCTTTGCATGGCCTAGTCTTATTCAAGGCTCACGTATAATGTGAGCTGTTGGCTGTGATACTTTGGTTGCAGTGCTAGTGGAATTCACTGTAGGCAAAGACTTATGATGGTAAACAAAGTGGACAAAAAGCTTTTACAGAATAATAAAAACAACAAGTCTCCATTTATGACTTAAAGTTAAATTCCTCAGTGAAGACATTACTCAATAAATAACTCTGTGGGAAAACCTGTGAAATATAAATGCCCTGGCAAGCTGGAGAAAGCACTGAGGTGACAGAAAAGCTTAAAGAGTCAAAAAGGTGAAAAAGGACATTATGTCTTGCTCGAAGCTCAGAGCTCTTTGCTGAATTAATTCTCTTGCAGCTCATGCATCTGGGGAAGCAGGGTCCCAGTTTCAAGTCTGCTGAAACTCTGTCAGTTTTTTATGTTCAACTAAAATAATATTGAGCTTGCATTTCTGAGGTGAACATGCAGAAAATGGCTCAGAAGTAGAAACAAATGTAGACAGACTGTGGGCAAAGGAGCAGAATGGGAAGAAAGAAAACTGTTAATAAGAAATTAAGGACAGAAACTGTACAATGCAACCTAATTTTTTAGTAATCTGCCAGGTTTAGTGAGAAACACTTGCCGGAAGATTCAGACTGAGGCAAAGCTGAGAGTGAATCACCTGATCCCCAAATAAATCCTGGTGGGATGAATACCTGCTACCAGCTGAACAGGGCTGCTGTCCTGGACCAAGTTTCAGTGTCTGATCAGAGGTATCTCAAGCAGTTGGTCAACAACCATTTGTAGCTATATTATATTTCCTATAGCTATTTGTATCTCTGTATCCCTATTTTTCTACCAAAGAACAAAAAATGAGGCAGTACAAAGAAGTCTACAGGAATGGTTTAATCTGAATTAAATGAAGAGCTGACACAGAGCTGAATATCATCATCACTAAAAGAGGCCAAAGTATGGAAAATGTTTTGGGTGAAGATTTGAAAGCATTTATGTTTTGAAAAAATTAAAGTGAATCCAGGTTTTTTTGTGGGATTTTATTTTTTCATTATCTTTTCTACAATTTTTAACCAAAACCTTCATCCAAAGAGCTTTTAGGATTCTTTCAATTACCACTAAAAAGACACTTTTATGAAATAATAATAAAAATTAAAAGTGAATAAAACATGGGAAAATTTGGGAAAAAGGGAAGTTTTGATGATATTGCCAATTTTTAAATGGTAGGGATTTTGCTTTTATAAGAAATGGAAACCAAAAATTACTCTGGCAAGATTAGTCTGTGGACACGTTTTCCATAGTGCTGACTAATGGTTTAACATCATTATCTTCCCTCTAACCTTAAGATCTCTAAGTTTAGGACAGAAGTTTATGCCACCTAAGCATCATTCTTATGGCATGAGTAACTGGTTTGTTCATTGTCTGCTTTGGTTGAAAAGGAAAGGTTTTGCCAGAAGAAAAGAAGGGACCAGCATCCTCACCCAGTTCTCAGTCTGCCAGAACTCACTTTCTCAGGCCATATATTCAACGCTGTAAAATTGCTGCATGCCTCACTTCTGCCTCACTGAGACATATGGGAGCTTTCATGTCACCTCCAGTGATGGAATCAGTATAAATATTGAATCAGCCACAAAGGCCCATGTGACAGATGCACTCGACCCCTTAACCAAACTAGTGGTAGTTTGGTACAGGCTCCAAAAGAGGTAAAGGCCTGAGCCATAGCCGGGCCAAGAACTCCTCTAGTTCCAATCTGTTCTCTGTAAACCCACAAAGGAGCCAGGTGGCATGGTGAGCATCGATGCATATGAGCTTGGAACACCGACCATGCGATTAACACATGAATAGCGGGTGGATTTTCCAAGACTCATTTATCAAGGAACAAAGAAAGCTGTGGGTACAAGGAGTCTCATGCATACCTTTCCCATTGCATGTAATTTGACTATGAGCCAATCACTTTATTCCATAAATACGACAGCCTAAAGGAGCCTTCTTTGATCTCTCCCTGCTAGGCAGCGTGGCTGCATGGCGGTGATCTCCCCTTGAGCTGGGACACCTCTCAAGGTTGCTCCTCAAGGCAGAGAGACCTTTTACCAACAGCAGATCTTTGGTAAGCGACCGATATCGAGCATAACTTTGTAATATGATAACTTTGATTTTGAATTGGTAACTTTGATTTTGTCTCGGTAACTTTAATTTGTGCCTTGGTGATTTTGATTTGTGACTTGGTAACTTTGATTGATTTTGTCTTGGTAGTTTTGAATCATTGTTCAAATGATTGTGCCGTACAGTAATAGAGTGAAACTTGCCATCGAACTTTGTTAAGTTGCAATTTTACAACATCATATTAAACCCACTGTTGCTAATACCTTAGACAGTGATTCTTTAAGCGATCTAAATCACCCTTTCACAACAAATTGGCATAGTCAGCAGGATGGCAAGTAGTATCACTGATTACTTACGGAAGCATGGAATAAGTCCGAGTCTCAAATTCTCAGAAGAATGGGCTCACAACCACTAGCATGATTGGGGTGCTATTGAAGAAAATTAAAATTAGTGAGAGGAAATATTAAAAATGGTAAAGGAAAAGGAATTATTTGTAAGATGTTAAGCACCTGCCTAGAAGCCACCTGTCAAGATAGGAAAAAGCATAATAGAGAGAAACAGGATCTGAGGGAGGAAATAGAAGGCAGGAAGGCGGCTGAGTTATTACTGTCCTTGCAAATTGAACAGCCACAGAAACAGTTACAGGAAGAAAAGGAGAAAAAAGTTGGAAGAAAAGATCAAGATGGTGCTCATGCGGGCCCCGCATCCCCCTAACCCCATGCAAATTAGGAAACTAGTAGTGTCCCCGGAGGATTGGGATGGTGATATCTGGAGCGATCCTGATGACTATGATGAGGGAAATGATGACCTCTTGTTCCCCTCAGATTCCTCTGAATATGAGGCTAGACCCATTATTAAACCAGAAGACATTCTGATTCCAATTGGCCCTGAATGACAACTGGTGAAATTTCTAATAGATACGGGAGCACAAATTTAAATACTAACACAACAGGATGCCAAGAAGCTGGGTGTGCGACCCGGATGGCAGAAAGTTAAAGTCACTGGAGTAAACAGAGAAAGTGTTATTTGCCAGACCGTGAAAGTTAATTTATGGCTCCCCGGCAAGAAGCACATGTCATCCACTTGCTTTGCAGTTAAAAAGCACAGTGAAAATATTTTGGGTTTCGATGTTTTGACCAGGCAAAACTGGCACTTGCCAGATGGCAGCATGTGGTTCTTCAGTACAAGTACCGACCCCAACCCCTGTAGAAATTGGGAGGCTACTGTGCATGTACTCTGCACTGCCCCTGCACTCCCCAGTTCAAAAATTACCAATGTACCACAGTATCCAATTTCTGCTGTGGAACAAAATGGAATTTCTGATGTAATAGCAGACTTGGAAAAATGGCACATTATTTCCAGAACCCATTCCCCATAATTTTCACCCATCTAGCCAGTCCGAAAACAAGACGGGAGATGGCATCTAACAGTTGATTATCAGTATTTAAATGACAACACAGCTCTGCTAACGGCTGCAGTAGCCAATATTGCAGCTTTAACAGCCATACTACAAGCAGCCGCACATCCATGGATGGCAGTGCTAGATGTCAGAGAGGTGTTCCTTATGGTTCCCTTGCAGGAGGAGGATAAAGAGAAATTTGCTTTTACTCGGGAAGGCATACAATACACCTTTAACAGACTCCCACAGGGATATCAACATTCACCCATGATTGCTCATGCTGCACTTGCTGAACTCTTACAGACAGTCTCACTCCCTCATGTGAAACTGTGCCAATATATAGATGATATTCTAATGGGAGGGACCTCCCCTGGAAAAGTGGGAGAAGTGGCGGCAGCAGCAGTGTGGCAGGCACTATATAAAGCAGAAGTTGAAGTTCCACCTGAAAAATGTCAGGGACCAAGTACAGAAGTAAAATTTTTAGGTACTTTGTGGATTGCAGATAGTGCAGCAATTCCACCAGACACCCTAAGTGAAATAGAACAATTGCAGATGCCCCAGTCTGGGAAAGAATTACAACAGCTTATGGGTACTTTAGGGTACTGGAGGAAACCTGAACCATTGCTGGCCCACTGTACTCACTTTTACAAAAGGGAAAACCATGGAAATGGAGCCCAAAACATGAAGAGGCAGTCAAAACTCTAATACAGGAATTAAAACCATATCAATCATTGGGACCAGTACACCCTCGCGACCCTATTATAGCCGAAAGGGGCTTTGCAGAACATGGTACTTACTGTAACCTCTTCCAAACTGGCCCTGACGACCAAAGAAGCCTTTAATGTTTAGCTCGACTGTATTTAAAGAGACAGAACGGAGATATTCCGAGTGGGAAAAGGGACTTTTGTCTTTAGCCCGAGCAGTTAAACAATTTGAGCCACTAAGGTGTAACCGGACCGGAAAAACCCCGCCAAGACTTGGATTGTTTTCCCTTTCCAGGAACGACACCGGGAATGATACCAGCACACCTCCCCTGGAGAGCGGGTTAACCGTCCAAGGATTGCTTATCCTTCTCGCAGGAGTAATCACCACCAGCATGAACCAAATTCAGTTCACATGTCAACAAGCTCAACCCACAGGGTGGAGACCCTCACTTCTTTTATTTATGCTAATCAGTGAGGTAACCATACATGTTTCTCAGTTGTGGGTGCAATCTACTGTAACAGCAATTATAAGGGAAGGCGATGAGGGCACCTTGCTCAGCGAGATTCGAAAGGTAATCTGGGATAATGCGACTGAATTTGAAAGGGAATTCCAGTCTTGGTGGCATCTAGTTAATCTCACTTACGGCCCCACCGACAGTAAAGCCACAGCTTTTGTTTTGACAATCCGCAATGCTTCGGTATACACCATATACCCAACCATTGAGCTGGGGTTATATCACAATGGAACTGTCCTCTGTCCGGTAGAACATAGAATATGGGCCCAACAAAATGGGAACAAATGGCCAACTATTGATGTTGATGCATATGTTGTACGGGAACAACAGGGATTTATTTGTGAACGTAATGCCATTAAGGCCCAAGACATTTGTCTTGACTCTGAACAAAATGGTTTTTATTTTGAAACACATCCTGGTGAAACCCCCGAAACTGTACTTGTCTATGTTGGAAATGGATGTGTTTGTATGAGAACCCTTTGTGATTCTATATTTACAGACAACACCACTGCAGAGACATATAATCACTCAAATATCTGTATTTACAATTTTACCAAAATTATGGGATGCGACTTTAACTGTTCAGCTCCTGCCACAACCCACCAACTGTTACAATCTAACTATACATTGTGTCGAGATTTATTGCCTACCCCTATTGGAATGAATCTCACATTGGTGAGAAAACTGTTGCAACATGATGATCTAGGAAGGAAATTAACTGTATCCCTGCCGAAACTAGGACAGCATCTAAGCTCCATCAGGAGTTTAGAAAGCAAGGGGGTCCACTCTGAATATCATGACTCAATGGGAGGGTCTTCCTTACTTTTTTCATCTCCAGTCTCTGTGTGAATCATTCTAACTTGATTCTAACTCAATTTTCCTGTGTATGTTTCTTCCATGCAGTAATTAATAGAGTGAACCTTGCCATCAAACTTTGTTAAGTAAGTCGCACTTTTGCAACATCTTATTAAAAACACTTTTGCTAATACCTTTGATGGTGATTCTTTAAGTGTTCTAAATCACTCACCCGTGACAAATTGGCATAGTCAGCAGGATCCTAAATCAGGATTCGTGGCAACATACAGAGCAGAAACATGCTTAGACCCAGCTTTTGGATATGTTAAAAACCATGGGATTTTCTTTTCCCTCTCTTGCTTTCTATTGACAATTCTTTTAATAAGAGACAAAGAACATAGGCTTTATGAATTCTTGGACTTTACAACTTTTCCCTAAGTAGAAATGATGCGAGGAAACCTAGGGGGCATTCAAATTACAAGAATATGGGGTGTAAGACTGAAGGATTTTTCCATTCTCTCCCATGGGTCTACTCACTGATGCACTTCCAGGCCAGCATAAGGATTATTTGGCTTGAATAAGAATAAAGGATGAGGCACTGGTCAGTGTCTGAAAAATTTTGTCACCATAAGGAATGGTAAAAACATGCAGGGAATTCTTGAAGAAAACTTAGTACTCCAGAATACACATTTGACTCATACATCTCACTTATGGCCCCACCGACAGTAAAGCCACAGCTTTTGTTTTGACAATCCGCAATGCTTCGGTATACACCATATACCCAACCATTGAGCTGGGGTTATATCACAATGGAACTGTCCTCTGTCCGGTAGAACATAGAATATGGGCCCAACAAAATGGGAACAAATGGCCAACTATTGATGTTGATGCATATGTTGTACGGGAACAACAGGGATTTATTTGTGAACGTAATGCCATTAAGGCCCAAGACATTTGTCTTGACTCTGAACAAAATGGTTTTTATTTTGAAACACATCCTGGTGAAACCCCCGAAACTGTACTTGTCTATGTTGGAAATGGATGTGTTTGTATGAGAACCCTTTGTGATTCTATATTTACAGACAACACCACTGCAGAGACATATAATCACTCAAATATCTGTATTTACAATTTTACCAAAATTATGGGATGCGACTTTAACTGTTCAGCTCCTGCCACAACCCACCAACTGTTACAATCTAACTATACATTGTGTCGAGATTTATTGCCTACCCCTATTGGAATGAATCTCACATTGGTGAGAAAACTGTTGCGACATGATGACCTGAGTCAATTGCTAAAACTAATTCGGAACAACGGACAAAGGACCCTGATTACCATCCATCCTGATGCAGAAGAGATACACCATGTCCTAGAAAGAGTGAAGAAAGATGGAGAACATCACTGGTCGGCAAGTCTTTTCAGATGGTCACTAACAGCAACTGGAATTTTGAATTTGATGCTGCATCCAATTGTAGTTTTGTTAGTTTTAACCTTATTATGTTTATTGCTCATCATCATCCTGTATATCAAGGTTTGGCAAAAGATTAAACAAATTATGTCAATCCAACATGTAAAATGTATACAATCAACTGATTTTGTATGTGAACTGGTATATAACTAGCATTAATTGTGACACAAAACAAACAACTTATCAGATAATTGGACTTGTACCGCTGATCTGCAATACACCACATATTTATGACATACAGGCAAGAGGTAAC